GTATATGTGTGACTTGGCAAGACAATAGCTTCCCCCCAGTCCCTCCTTGCCTTTGTGTCTTCTGTAGCAATTTATTGTTCTCATTCATCAGTGGAAGCATCATGGGTGTGTGTATCCTTCCACGTTTGATTCAAATCTTTTAAAGTGTTCTTTGGTATTCTCTGCCCCGTTCCAAAGCTTTACCCAGGCAAAGCCCACCTGTGTGTGTTTCCACAGCACCCAGAACGTATCTGTACTGGGGCAAAAAGTATATTCTAGATTCTGTATTTGTCTTCTCCCCAGACCATGTGCTTCTTGAGGCTTGGATTTTAGTATTCAGCTTTGAATTTCCAGCACTCAGCATGAGGCTGGTCGTATGGTAGATATGCAATGTTTATTGATGAAGGGGATGAATGAGTGAATCAGGGATCTAAAGAATTAAGGGCAGGCCAGTAGGGAATGAAACCCAGAAGTGCTAAGGCCATAAACTCGGAACATGGGCTGCTGTAATATTTTCTGAGAGCCAGAAAGTATTAATATATTAATACAATATATTAGGTAACATGAGACGTGCATCGTACCATTTCTCAGTGAGGCATTCTTAGAATCCCAAACTTACAAGGAGTACCTTTAGAAAAATTTTACCTACGCTATAGTAGAGATGTGCTTGACATCACTACATTTGGGAAAGGGACGTATGTGTTGCCTTTCCTATTGTTTGGACTGTGCTGAGCCCTCTTTTCCCTTATTATTTCCTACAAATCTGAAAGACACTTGGTTAGAGTTAGGAAAACAGTATATTGCCAACAAAATGGGATTTTTCACAGCACAAAGAGAATTGTCTCTTATAGGAATAAGACAGTTAATGCTGGCCTCTTTAGCTTGGTGCTTTAATCTGTAAGCCTAAAACAGGTTGACATACTATGACCCACAAATCAAATGGCCACCGCGCATATTCCTGTGGCCCATAACTAACTATGGCTTTTACATTTTTTCAGTGGTCGGAAAAAAACAAAAATAAATAATACAACAAAATTTAAAATAATATTTCTGACACATAAAGCTATAAGAAATTCAAATTTCTGTGTTGTGTTGGAACACAGCCATGCTCATTGGCTTATGCGTTGCCTATGGCTTCCTTAGCATTGCAGTGGCAGAGCTGTGACAGCCTTAAATAAAAATGTATATGTGTGCACCTGTAGTCCCAGCTACTCAGGAAGCTGAGGCAAGAGAATCAC